AACAAAAGCAGGGGAAAGATTGGTTCAGGAGACGTGACGCTGTTACCTGGTTGGTCCTGTGGTGGGTCAACGTCTGCCACCAAGCCAAGTACTAAGAGAAATGCGTGGGATTTGGCTCCCTGCCTCACCTCCAAAAACATTTTGTGCATCCCCCATGAAGCCATGCCCTGCCTGCTACCCACCCCCCCCCCCCCCCCCCCCCCCCCCCAAGCCCCACGCGCACCGTGGAGTACAGGGTCACAGAATCACAAGCTCTGTCCCATAGCAGCGTACTTGAACTTCCTCGCAAATATTGCTTAGAGCTTCCTCGGGTTTGTGAAATCTGAAAGGCTGAGCCCACCTCCTGCGTCTATCCTGCCCGGAAGCACCTGTCTTTGAAATGCCTTTGGAGACAACCGGGCGCAGGGCGAGTGTCCCGCAGAGCACCAGCGCAGCGTCGTTTACCCCAGTGCCCCTGAGTCGAGCCGGAGTCGCGGATCGTCCCGCAGGGCAGCTTTCGAGCTCCCGCCGTGAAACCGACGCACCGACAAACCGTGTGGGAGGGATATGGACTGCAGCCGTCGGACAAGAGAAACGCGGCGAGGCTCCGAGAGCCGCCGAACAGCGCAGGGCCGTGCCGGGGACCCGCTGTACTCCGACCCAGCACCCCCGGACTCCCGCCCCTTCCCTTCCCGTCCTGTTCACTGAGTCCCCTTTACCGCGCCCCGGCAGCGGCTGCCGCGATTCCCGCCGTCCCGGGTCTGTCCCCCCGTCCCCGGCACGCCTCTCGCCGCCCGTCCCACCACCGTTTTCGACAGCGCTGCCCAGGGGCTCCGACCGCGGCGCTCGGCCTGGGCCAGCCCCCGCCTGCAGCGGGGGCCGCCCCGCCCCGCCTCGGGGGCCCCGGATGGCATCGCCCGGCGCCGTCTGGGGCCGGGGCCGCAGCCGGAGCCGGGGCCGCAGCCGGTGGGGAGGGGCGGGGCGGCCGGCGGGGGCCGGGAGATGCCCTGCCTCCCCCTCCATGCCGAAGATGTGCGGGGGCCTCGCCTTCCCTCTCGCCTACCGCCCCCTGGCACTCCTCCCCCGCCCCAAGGAGGCCAGCCCGCCCGGCGACACCGTGCCAGACTTGCCCGCGCCGCCCTGAGGCCGGGTAAGACTGCAGAGCCGCGGCGGAGCCCCGGGCCGGCCGCCTCATGCACCCGCCCGGCGCCCCGCTCGCCATGGCCGAGGGCGCATTCTCGCTGGCCGGCCCGGCGGCGCGGAGCCCCGGGGGAAACCCGTCGAGGCTTCACAGCATCGAGGCTATCCTGGGGTTCACCAAGGAAGACGGGCTGCTGGGCGCCTTCCCGCCCGACGGCAGCGCCAAGGAGGCAGACCGGCGGGGGCCCCGGCATTGCCTGCCCAAGATGCTCGGAGAGCAGCCGCCGCCCGAGCCCCAGGGCCGCGCTGAGCGCTTCCAAGGTGAGCGTTGTAGACGAATGCCGGGTACTGGGGGGCGGACGGGTGGGCGCTGCTCCCCTACGCCCCGGGCAAGCCCCGCGGTGAGATCCTGCCGGTGACCCCCCCCCGTCTTCCCCTCGCAGAACCGTACTGTCCCGGCAGCGCCAGCCCCGAGTTGCCCGCTGGCAGCAGCGGCGAGGAGAAGCCGTCGGAAGAGGAACAGCCCAAGAAGAAACACAGGCGAAACCGCACCACCTTCACCACGTACCAGCTTCACGAGTTGGAGCGTGCCTTTGAGAAGTCCCACTATCCCGACGTGTACAGCCGCGAGGAGCTGGCCATAAAGGTCAATCTGCCCGAAGTCCGCGTCCAGGTAACGCCCGGCCCGGCCCAGCCCCGACGGCCCCCGGCGCCGGGAAGCTACACACGGTCCAGCCCAACGCGCTTCGGTGCAGCCCCGTGGTCCCGGCGACCGGAGCAGGCCCGGTGCGGCGCGCAGGCCCCTGACTGCAGCAGGGCTCCGGCCACACTCGGGGCCCTGCTGGAGCGCTGGGCGCGGCTGCCGCACAGCCACGAGCCGGCCCGGCCGGCGGGACAGCGCGGGGCTCGGGGCAGACCTGCGTCGGGCAGCCGCGTCGTCGGTGCTGCTGCCCTTTGAGTGGCGTGTCCCAGCCCGGGGCTGCTGAATGTGCTGTGTGCCAGGGCAGTGGCGGGTGGATGGGCGGGCCAGCTCCACCGGGACTGCTTTCCACCGGGCGTAGGGTTGCAGATCGTGGAGGAATGCCCGAGCCCCCCAAATTCCCTTCTGCCCCGGTACAGCAAGGCGTGTTTTCCCTCACTCTGTTTTGCGTGCATGGCTGCAGAGGTGAGCCTCTTTCCACTGCCTAGGGCCTGGCTGATACAGCTCTGCTTGCAGGTTTGGTTTCAGAACAGAAGAGCTAAGTGGAGGCGGCAGGAGAAACTAGAAGTGACCTCCATGAAGCTGCAGGACTCGCCCATCCTCTCGTTCAACCGCTCGCCGCAGGCAACACCCATGGGTCCTCTGAGCAGCAGTCTACCCCTGGAGACATGGCTCAGCCCACCCGTGCCCAGCAGCACAGCCCTGCAGACCCTGCCTGGCTTTGTGGCCTCGCCACAGAGCCTGCCCAGCAGCTATACACCACCACCCTTCCTGAACTCTCCGGCAGTGACCCATGCGCTGCAGCCCCTGGGGGCCATGGGGCCACCGCCGCCTTATCAGTGTGGGGCCAACTTTGTGGACAAGTTCCCTTTGGATGAGGCAGATCCACGCAACACCAGCATTGCCGCCCTGCGGCTGAAGGCCAAGGAGCATATCCAGTCCATTGGCAAGCCCTGGCAGACAATCTGAACTCCCTCTCAGCACCTGGGAGAAAGCCATGGGGAAGGTGCATTCCAGAATGCCCAAGGGACACCCTTACCCTGCCTCAGCTGCCGCGGATGACCAGGCACAGGAGGGCTGTCCCTTAACTAGCCTTTCCCCTATGCCTTGACTTGCTTTTGTATTTTGTGGTCCTTTTGATTCCCTTTTCCACAACCCCTGAAGAGTTAGGGGCCTGATCATAGCTTAGGAAAAACAATCTCTTTTGCTCTCCCTCCTTGGCTGGATGCTTTAGTTGCAATAAAAGCTATAGTAGGGCAAAGAGCCATATAAAGTGGCTGGGAGCTCAGGACTGCTGTACTGAGGGGACTGCAGGAAGGGGGTTCTACTTTTACACCATTAAATGGCACCATCTGCATGGAGGCTGTGTATCATGTTTCTGAACCCAAATGGGCATCTTGGGCTGGACCCTCTCCTCCATGTGATGCACAGAGGGGTGGGAGATGCTTGGCTGTGGGCTCTTCTCTGTACTCCATCAGCAGAACCCTGTCCAAGCTGGCTGTGGCACTGGGGCCTGCATCCCCATGATGGAGAGTGTGCCCAGATAGGAGTGGGCACAGAGGGTCTGGAGCCCTTGCAGTTCTTGGGCCAGGTAGACCACTTCCACAATTGCCCTTGTGGAGTAGTGCCAGGCTCATGTGGGCTCTGCAGGCCACAATCAGTGACAGTTCTTGCCTCTGCAAAGAAGGGGAATGGCAGGACCCCCAGGGCTCCTGCCCCCTGCAGCCAAGCTGCCCAGAGGGAGAGACAGATGGTCTCTGGTTAGGCACTAACACTGGGCTGGGGCCTGGCAGGCTCATCCTGCCTGCTCTGGCTGCCCAGGACAGCCCCTGGAGGCTGGCACAGAGCTGAGCCATGCCTGCTCCCCTACCCACACAGTGCCCATCGCCAGGCTGCCCAAACTAAAACTGCGGCATCTTTATTTTTCATTATCTCGGTTACTGCCTGTAATAGGGCTGAGAAGCTGTAATGAAACACTCCTTCTCCTCTGTTGGTTATGGGGTGCTCTACACACTTGGGAGGTTGTGGCAATTAATGTTTCTCATTAGAGAAGAGAGAAGGATGCACAAGTGCCCTCATTGTGTCCTGGGGATGATTCAGTGCAGACTGGGAGACCTCTCCTTTCACCATTTCCCACTCATTGTGGCCAGACAAAGGCCGGCATCTAATTATATTTTCACAATCTGTGCGTGTATTTTAAGAGTCCTGTCAGAAACAAGTATGTCAGCCTTGTTCAGCTTCACTTCAGAGAGCTTTTTAACCTCAGACAGCAGTTTCTAAACATCCCTTCATAGCCTTCTCCACAGCAGCCCCATCTATTGTATGGAGAGCTTCTTTTACAGATAATAGGAATCCCTGTTGTTTTCAAACGCCTTTTCCTCTGTCCCCAGCCTCCCTGCAGATCCAACCTGCCTCTCTGGACCAGAGCACACACTGTGTTCAGGACTTCCAGCTTCCCTCCCCTGAGCTGTGCTGGTCCAGGACATGAAGGGAAGCCAAGTAAGTAGTCCACCCTGAATCTGGGGGGGAATGAAGCTCTGCTGGGGAAGACTGTCCTGCTGGGCTCTCATCTTGACAGTTCTACTGTGTGTGCATTTGTGGTGGTGCCCACCCTTCCCAGCACACATCTCTTTGCTTCCTTAGCAGAGAGAGGAAGTGTTGCCAGGAAGAGAACTGCCATTTCTGTCAGGACCAGGGAGGTAGTTTGCTAACTTCTAGTAACTTACTCAGGTAAAAGAGGAGAACAAAAATCATATTGCTTCCATTTTTAGGTCTTATTCTAGTGGTCCTTTCACATGTGAGCTTTGCTTGCATCACCAGTTGCAAGAAGGCATGGCATTTTTGGTGACTGCAAGAGAAGGATTTCTCTTGGTGTGCTTGAGAAGTGCCTGCATGGCCTGGTTTGTGTCAGCAAGAGACACACACTAATGAGTGACTGCACAGGCTCTGCACACTTTTCCTTCTCAGGGTAGAAACAATCTCACTTGTCATTACTTGGCTGCAGTCCAGCTGTGGCTCTGAAGCTGAAAACCCTATGTTTTAATGTGCAGGTAAGCACATTAAATTGCTACTCTAAAGTTCTCACCTGTGCTTATTGCTCATGGTTAATAAGGCAACTCCGCAGGATTTCAATAGTGCTTAATGCCATATTTTGGCATTACTACCCCCCCTTTTCTCTTACCTACATTTCTTCTGTATCCTGTAGAGCCGCTGGAAAGAAGCCCTCTAATTCCTGATCAGCTGTCACCAGTGCTGAGGCTTGGTTACTCGAGATAGTCAAAGACTGGGAGTAGATACAACCACAATGACAGGGCAGCAGAAGTAGCAGCTGAAGACGCCTGCTCACTTTTAATAAGGTCCTGATTCAGCACCTGCAAACTAATAAAGATTATGGCAAGATATGGTGGTTGTTCCTTTATTGGCATCTTGAACAGGTCTTTCTTATACTTTGTACAGGTGAGCCCTGTAAGTGGATTGACTTTGTGCACTCATGTCCTTCAAGGAAAACTGTGAGTTTATTGCTAAAAATGAGTATTTTACTAGCTACACATAAGTGGACAAATAAAGAGACAGAGGCATATGCAAACACATCTTTCTTCTAGTCTGTCTAGTTTTCTGTGTTCCTACACTTTCTTTCAAATTGTTCCATTCCATTTTAAAAGCCCATTTGTTCATTTTGTTGTAAATATCTTCTCCTCCTTAATTGGGTGCTGAGTCTAATAATCCTGCCTCGGCTTGTTAACTGTACAATACCAGTCAGAGTTAATGACCCATTAGCGATTAATTCCTTAAACAGCATCTAATTGCTCACTGTAAAAGCTTTTCTTAAAACTGGATTAAATCATCTAGATCCTTAACCACTTCTTTAACTTTGCTAAGGCTATTAGCATGGCCTTCTGAGTGGTCTGTTTCTTCTTTTGCTTAAACTGTATTAGCAACATAGTATTTTTAGTGTCCATACTTGACTTCTTTTCAGCACCTGAAGTTATAAGGAAGAATAATACAGATAAAAGACTGCCAGAGAATGAGTAGTTATGAGGAAAATGTCATGATGGAATTTGTTCTCAAGAGTATATTCTGGTCTTCCCTTCTCTCCATCCCTGCTCAAAATCCTGTCAATATTCAAGAAAACTAGCAGATACCTGAGCTCTTTAATTTTAACTTGAGGTTCAGCTCTTTGGCTTCTCGATGGAGCAGGACTGTCTCTGTGTGAAGAAGGGACCCTTAGTCCCTGCTGGATGGCTTGGAAGCTGTCATTCCCTCTGGAGCAGTGGGCTGGCTGTTGTGTGTGCTACTGCCACGGTATCTCACAGCCCCTGTGACATGAAAATACACATTGCTCAGCCATAGTTTGAATTTCTGTTACTAGCTGCTGTGGTTGAGGGCAATACTATTCCCTTCTTTTGCGCAGAAAGTTAAACAGTCTTGTTTCCATCTGCCCTGGCTACATCTGACAGGCATTTCAATTATGGACATTCAGTTTCTTACTATTGCAGTATCTCAAGTAGCTTTTCAAAGCTCCTTGTTACACCTTTCCTCATTTCTAGGGACGTACTATGAAGTCCAACAGACATTACTTCAACGGGGCTCCCTTCAGCTACAGTACTGCAGCTTTTGTCTTCTATGCAGTCAGTCCTCCTCCTTTGTCGCTATTATAAACCTTGGGACTTTCATCAGTAGTTTGTCAGCCACAGAGTACCCACCCACAAAATGCTAGCATTGGAGAAAATAGTGGAACAAAACAAAAACAAAAAAACCCCAACCAAACAACGAAACAAAAAAACCCTACCAAACAACCAAAAAGCCCAAAACAAACAAACAACCCCCCAAACAACAAAAAAACAAACAAAAAACCAAACCAAACCAGACAAATAAACAAACAAACCCACAAAAACAAAAACAAAAAAAAAAAGGCGTGAAACCAAAAGCTCGTTAGACCAGGACGCTGACAGTACCAGTCTCTCTAGTAGAATTAATACTGTGTCTCCTCTCTGAGCGTCTCTATGTTCTGCCAAGGTATTATGTCAAAACAAGCTGGTATTTGGCAGTCATCCCTGTGTCATATGACACTTCTGCCCCATAAAGATTGGGATTGCAGAGCCGGGCAGAGGGCTGCGACTGAGTTACGGCAAACAGCCGAAGCCACGGGGCTCACCTGGCACCGCAGCGCACCGGGACACCCTGCACAGCCGCGCCTCGGCCTCGGCCGGTCCGTCCCGAGGCGCACCGGAGCGCCCCCCTCACGGCCGGGGTTCGGCCTCGGTCCGTCCCGGGGCTCACCGGAGCGCTCCCCTCACGGCCGGGGTTCGGCCTCGGCCCGTCCCGGGGCTCACCGCAGCGCTCCCCTCACGGCCGGGGTTCGGCCCGTCCCGGGGCTCACCGGAGCGCTCCCCTCACGGCCGGGACTCGGCCCGTCCCGGGGCTCACCGGAGCGCTCCCCTCACGGCCGGGGTTCGGCCTCGGCCCGTCCCGGGGCTCACCGGAGCGCTCCCCTCACGGCCGGGGTTCAGCCTCGACCCGTCTAGGGGCTCACCGGAGCGCTCCCCTCACGGCCGGGGTTCAGCCTCGACCCGTCTAGGGGCTCACCGGAGCGCTCCCCTCACGGCCGGGACTCGGCCTCGACCCGTCCCG